CACGCATGCCAAAAAGCAAGTGAAAAAAATGCTACTGCAGAATTTATAGTACCCATTAACCTCCAAAGTTGTATTATCTTCTCATATATAGTTTATTAATATACATATAATGTCTGTTTAATTTTATTTATGGGATTTATATGGTAAGTGGTGTATTGTGGGGTGTAACATGGATCCCAAAAAATAAAAATGCAAAAGAAAAATTATCACCGACCAAAGCCACAGGCGGCGTTGAGGACGCGCAGCCACCGGAGGAATTTTTTTTAGTATATTTATTTGGTGAAAATTATATTATGCACATTTGTCAAATAAACAAAGCGACTTTCGCATTTTCTATTTAAATTATTTTTTATATTTTATTTTCTCTTACAAAGTTTTACTTTTGTTTTATAATTCTTTTTTTAATAATTACTTTTGTTTTAAAATATTGCAAAGGTTCTTGCATCTTGGTCTGGAATTAAGAAACCTCCTTTGGCAAACTCATTTTTCAAAAGCTGCTGGTCCATTCTCTGGCTTTTATGAGAATAGTCCTTCATGTTTAGGAAGATTCTCGAGACTGCCACTCAGTTCCTCCTCTTTTCTCTTCTTTTCTTTTCTTTTTTATTTCTTTTTTGAATTACCTATTAGATTTTTATTTTGTACCTTGGAAGAATATTCTCATTTTTTGGCTTTATGAAGCTTGGGATTGAAGGGTTCGGTTGATTGTACAAGTTGCCATCCAAAAATCAAAAGTACGTGATAATGATTCATGAGATTGCTAAGGAAAATACTTTACCACTTAAAAGTCATATTCTTACTGGAAAAAATCGATAGTATCAGGTTGAAATTGTTAATAATTTATTAATTTTTTAGTTATGTGTGTTTCTCTTATACAAGTAGAATCAATAATTTCATCACGTATAATCTTTAATGATATACGTTTTTTGATTTTCCATCAAAGAGGGAGGTCATATTCCTTTGCCCTTGATGGCTGGTGATTTGCTATTTTGTTTTCCTTATGTTTTTTTATTTTTTCTAATCTTAATGAATGTCTTTTACAGTAAATAAAATTACCTTGTTAGGATACGTTATCTTATCCAAGTGATATAATAATTTTTTAAATCATCTACTAAAACTTAATGGTGATATATGAATAGTATATTTTTTAAGGAATGAATAGTAGTTTTTTTTTTTTTTTTTGAAATTATGATAGTAGGATTTTGATATCATACAATGCATTTTTTTTAATACAAATGCGCATTAAATGATACAAATTTAATCAAATAGTTTGAAAAAATGAGACTTTCTCTGAAAGGCCTCACTACTGGTACTATCAGTTTCTGATCATTAAATCTGATTAAAATCACATCAGATTAAAAAAGCACGCAGAAAAGATAATTTATGATACAGATCTGACGGCTAAAAAATAAAAAATTACTGGTAATTTTTTTTATGGTCTTACCACAGAAACTCTCTTTTAATAAAAAAAACTTGAAATAATATATGTAGGACAAACAATGCACCCTTCCGTATTTTTTTAAATCTTAAAAAAAATTAACTTCACAAATTATAATATAATTTGTGAAGTTATGTCAATCTTACCTTAAAAAAAGTTATGTCAATCAATTTTGTTATGTACCAAGATGAAATTTAGCATATGTTAAGGATAGTGGTAACGGAGAGAAAAGAAAAAAATTGGATAAGGGATTTTAGAGGAAAAAAAAGGAATCTTGACTTGTCTGATAAAAAAAATTATAAAGGAAATTTGTTTGTAAATTCATAATATTTATCATGGTTTAATCTCTCAAACTTCATAAAGAAAACAATAGAGAAAAAATTTGACAAAACGAATAGCTCTCACTTCATATAGGTCCGTTCACTTTGTTGATTTGAGTTTATAATTCGAGTTGAGATGTGATTTTGTGTGAGAGCTTTTTATTGTAGTAAAAAAGTTAGATGTGACTGTTTCTGAGAGCTTTTTACTGTAGCAAAACTCGAATCTGCGAAATAAACGGTACTGTACACGAGTATACCGTAAAATAATTATAGCTTGCACTTTTTTTTATGCACCTTGATACTTTAGGTGCGTTTGGTTTCATTTCCAAAATGTTTTTCACGTTTTTCAAGGAGAAAAAATGAAATTGAAAACGAAACGGCGTTTATTTAGGAAATATTTTGAAAACGAAAACAGTGAGAATGATTTTTGTAAATGAATTTAGAAAACAGTTGAAAGTTATTTTCACTTTTCTGTTTTCATTTTCTAATATTAATCAATAATATTATAATATATTAATTAATAATTATAATCAAACTTACTCAAAATAATATTTTAAAAAACCAATTAAACGCAATTTCAGAATCGTTTTCAGAATCATTCTAAAAACAATATCATTTTTATATTTTATTAAAAATAAAATCATTTTAAAACCAATTCCAAACGCACCATTTCCTTCTCCTTTTATTTCATTATCCATCCCATCACATAGAACAACAAGGTTGTAGAGGGTAAAATGAGTCCCTTCACCTGATTTTTTCCCCTATAAGACCCAATTCATGTATACAATCAAGGAAATTTACGGTAAGACAAAGCAAATATTTCATTAATTATCATATAATTCAATTAATTACAAATTTTTTCCTCAAAAAATTAATTAATTTTTTAATCAAATTCAATGAATTTAGATATAGTTTAAATTTCGAAGTTATTCTATTGTGACTTAATGCTAAAAACTCCTCGATTTTTTTTTCAAAAGAACTAAGAACTTTAGACATAAAATTGGAAAATTAACGAGAATTTTACAGTAGGGCATGAAAGATATCTTATCAGTAGAATTGTGTTTGAAGTACTTAAATTTGTGTGAGATTATCCCTGAGGAGTCAACGGAGTGTTTGTAGGTTCCTCTCTAGATTCTCACTGAAAGAGAGATTCAAGATTCAAGTCTCTCTCTCAATCTCAAACACTGCTTAAAAAAAAAAAAACTCTGTATTAGATTATTACAATTTTTTAACTGACCAGGGGTAAATAGAATTGGAAAACTTTTCATTAAATAAAAGAGATTTTTTCGATACGTCAACATACCGACATGTTAGGTTTTATATCCGTTGAATATGCGTAAAATCATGTAAAAATAAAAAAATAAGTAGATTTAATGATTATAAAAACTTGATCTATCAGTACATTAAGCGTACCAAATTATCTCTCAAGACAAAATTGGAGAAAAAAAAATTTGAATTAAATGTTTGTTATTGACAACCACTAAGGGTTGTGATGTAGTAGTAATGACGCTTTTGTTAGGTCTTCTTTGTTCATCCTTTTAAGATTTGATACTCTATATTTATGCATTGTTATTCTATCCTTAATAGTCTTTAGAATGTTTATTTTTTATATTCGTCTCTAATTTTGAATCATAATTTATTATTCTTTATGATATTTTTTTCATAAAAAATACACATAAAATAAAAATAATTTTAAATTATCATTCAAAATATATAATCAAACATTCTCTGTGACTGAAAAGATGAGGGAATATAAAGTGCACCATAAAACCCTTTTTTAGTAGAAAAAAAAATGTTTGTTAATGCCAATATAGATTTGGTTTTAACTACATACAGAGAGAGGCGTATGAGAGAGACGGATTGACAGAAGAGGCTAAGCTATGACTATGACCACTGGGCCTAACACGTCATTTCAAACGAACAATAGGGACAACGACGTAAATGCGCCGAAATCATAAAAAATAATTCCCCACTCCTATATCCACACATCATCAAAATAAAATAGCAAAAATACTATTTTATTTTTATTTAATATAAAATCACTCTCGGGTAAGTTTGTCGATATGCGTGCAAACTAAACACTCTCTCTCCTTGTTTTGTTTTTTTTTTAATATTCTCACTGTCAGCTCAGATCACTATCCTTGCTTTGCTCTGCCCCTCTATCTCTCTTCAATCAAAGAGAAACAGAAAAAAAAACATAAAATAGTATAAAACCCTTTGTCTTTATTTCGTTAATTTAGGCTCGTTATTTTGTAGATTTAAATTTTTAATTTAAATTAAAATGTGATATTTTTTTAGAGTTTTTTATTATAATAAGAAAGTTAAATGTGACATTTTTTAAGAATTTTTAACTGTAAAAATCTAAAACTGAAAACTCGAATCGGTGAAATGAACAAGACCTTAATTGAGTTCAATTTAATTTAAACAATAAATAGAGTTTGAATTGATATTTGATAAATATATAATCTCATTCTATTCGAAAATTTAAGTTTTTAATTTGAGTTGATATATGATTTTATGTGAAAGTTTTTCACTATAGTAAAAAAAATTAGATATAATTTTTTATTAGAGCTTTTAACTGTAGTAAAACTAAAATTAGTGAAATTAACGACGACGCAGTTTAAATTATAGTTTGCACTAAATTGAACAGTCAAACTTAGAGTTTAGCTCTTTTCCTAAATTAAATCGTTTAAACTATTTTTAAATAGTAAAAAGATACCAACTCTCTCTGCTTTTTATATCTACTAAGCATAAATTCAAATTTTATTTCTTATTCAAATTAAAACTTTAACTACACATCTAAACGTCAATTTAAACTACAATTTAAACCATACAATTTGAATTTTTATGTTCAAATAAAAGAAGTTTAAGACATTGTTTATTTCACCGATTCAAATTTTCAGTTCTAAGGCCTCATTCAGTTCGTGAATTCGAATTTTCAATTCGAGTTGAGATGTAATTATATGAGAGTTTTTCACTACAACAAAAAAATTATATGTGACTTTTAATGAAAATTTTTAACTGTAATAAAATTAAAATTAAAAATTTAAATTAATAAAATAATAATACATTCTACAGTTAAAAATTCTCAAAAATACAATCATATTATTTTTTTATTAAAATAAAAAACTCTAAAATATAATTATATATAATAATTTTATTATAATATAAAATCACATTTCCATTCAAATTAAAAACACAAATATCAAACTAAAACGGATCCGTTCTCCGTGATGATTGTGGTTAGGGTTTCGCTGTGTACTAGTCTTTTGGTCTCTCCGTTTTCTTCTTCTCCACCACCTCTCTAACGCTTTAGCACATTGTCTCTCTTCACTCTTCCTCCCTAGTAAGAGAGAGAGAGAGAAACAGTGAGCCTTCAAAGCTTACTCTTTGTTTGGATTCTTCATTTTTAGGGATTCTTCTGCGATTTTCTTACAGTTCTCTGTGTTTTTTCTGGGCTAATCTGGGATCAATCTGAGTAGAAATAGATTAGAAATGTTCGTCGTTTGTCAAAATGTCAGATTCTTTATTTTTCTTCTTCGAAAAAATCTAGCTTCAAAAGCACAACTGTCTTGAGATCGAGTTTTTCTCCGACGAAAGTTTTTTTTTTTTTTTTTTAATTTTCTGTGAGTTTTTTTCGTTCTCTTCTCATCTTCTTCAACACCCCAATAGCTGAAGATTTCAGGTCAGCGAAGTAAAAAAAAAAAAAAAAAGGACCTATATTTATATAGATATATATTCGAAGTTTTGTTTGTGTCTGTATTGTAGGCGAACCATTTTGGATATTTTTGTACCTTAAACAACAAGCTACTACCTTTGTGTTTCCACGAAAGCAAGAATCTTCTGAGGGGGGTCTCAAAGCCAAACAAGCTCGTCGGTTTACGTTATTACCTCTTTTTTTTTTTTCGCTCTTTATCTCTTTCTTCTCAAGCGACGGACTTACAAGGACAAAGAATCTTTTTAAACTTCCAGCTAAGCCCCAAAAACAAAACCAGAAAAAAAATCCTCAAAAAAAAAAGAAAAAGAAAAAGAAAACCCACTAAAGCTCTCTTCTTTCTCTTCCTCTCTCTCTCTCTCTCTCTCTAGTTCTTTTAAGAGTGCTTTCGCGAGATCAACACGAGAAAACAGCAAACAATGGCGATGGTGGTTGCTCAGCAGCACCGAGAGAGCAGCAGCGGAAGCAGCATAAACAAAAACCACCAGCAACAACTGGACAGTGGAAAGTACGTTCGATACACGGCCGAGCAAGTGGAAGCGCTCGAGCGAGTCTACGCCGAGTGTCCCAAACCCAGCTCTATGCGCCGCCAACAGCTGATCCGAGAGTGCCCCATTCTCTCCAACATCGAGCCCAAGCAGATCAAAGTCTGGTTTCAGAACCGCAGGTTAGAGAGAGAGAGATATGGCTGCTGAATGTTGGATTTCATTTCATGACATGTTTTGTTGTGTTTTTCGTGTTATTTCATTTGGGTTTTGGAGGAATTTAAGTGGGTATTAGCGTTTTGGGATAAAGGTTTGATTTTTTTTCTTTGGGTGGCTGAGGAAAGAAGAAATGGTGTTTGTTTGGGTTGTGCAGGTGTAGAGAAAAGCAGAGAAAAGAGTCGTCGAGGCTGCAGACTGTGAACAGGAAGTTGTCAGCGATGAACAAGTTGTTGATGGAGGAGAATGATCGGTTGCAGAAGCAGGTTTCTCAGCTTGTCTGTGAAAATGGGTATATGCGGCAGCAACTGCATACTGTAAGCGTATGTTTATGTTCTCTTTGTTTGGTTGATTCCTTTTTTTTTTTTTTGTTAATAATAGATAGATATGAGAAGTGGTAGAATGCGTTTGGAAGTGAAAGTTTTGAAGGGGGGAATGGGTGAATTTGGAGGGTGGAGGATACTGGTAAG